AAAAAAAAAAAAAAAAAAAAAAAAAAAAAAAAAAAGACGATTTCTCATTCTGTTTTCCATTCTCTTCTACTTTCTGTTTTCGATGATATCTTAGACTTTCCGGGGCGTTTGTGTTACTTTATTCATTTGTTCCGAAAGGATTCCCAATATCTTTATCAACTCTCCATTTCTGTGTCAAAGAAGACATTAAATTTTCCTCTTATGCACGTTATCCGTTGTTCCTTGTATTCTTCAGGTAGTCATGGTGATTTCCCGCCTTGTGGTGGTTACGGGTATTAGATTGCTCTTTCCGTAAATAACCACCTTCCCATCCTATTCTCTTCTTGAAACCTCTCTCCTAAGTTTTGTTTCCCTATAATGAGCACAACACGCCTCAATCTCCCTATATTCGCTTCTCATTTATCTTTAATTGACTTGTTCTATGGTTATTTCCCCTCATACCTACTTTTACGTTGACGTTCACCATGTCAATTTGGTCGTTGGATGGTTCCCAAACCGCGCTCAGTATCAATACAGAGTCGTTATCACAAGATGATGCAGCCCTGCAAAGCAGACAATATCCCCCCTCGACGATTCCCAACCACGAGACACGGCCTACGAACAAGTATGGGGTTATGAAGCCACACCAGGTCACCATGATGAGTGCGTCCCTTATCCAAGTGCATAGACAACAATTGGCTAAGCTGTACAGCTATTGGCGCAGCCATTCATACTGGTTTGATGCTCCTTCCAGCAAACAGTCTGACAACAGGGTAAGGGTTAGGCCAATAGGAAAAAGTTGCACTCTCCAAAGAAAAAAAAAAGGAAATATTAACAACATTCTAGTACCGGAGTCAGTTTCGTCCTGCGCGCTTAACTGTGCTAGAGCTTTGTTGACGGGTTGATTGCTGCAGATATTTCCCATAATCGTTGCGTATACGTTTGTCGGGGTGGTGGTTTACCTGGTTTTGTGTGCGACTGGAGAAGTGGCATCATGGTCTTCAGTCCAGTCCACAGTAGCTGGCCATGCGGTTCGGTTTTGTGATCCTGCTTTGGGCTTTGCGATCAGTTGGATGTGAGTCAACGGATCTCCTAGAGGGCTCAACTGGGAGAAGCTTCTGACGCAGGACTCCGGAACAGATACTGGTTGAAATACGTCGTCGTCGTCCCGAATCAATTGACAGCTGCTGCATCATTGATCTCGTTCTGGGCGGAGACACAGCGCGTCAACGCTGGAGTTTGGATTACCGCGTTCTTGATCATCATTATTACCGCGAATTACTATGCATCACCATTTTTCGGGACATATGAAGTCGTATTGTCGTCCTTTAAGATACTCGTGGTGTTGGGGATTGTCATACTGTGCGTCGCTCTTGCGGTTGGAATCCGTCCCGAAGCTTTACATTGGAGAGATTCTAATCTCTACAATGAAGATGCTGAATGGCCTGAGCATCTTTATGCCTTTTGTGACACTCTGCCGTCTGCAATACTCGCCTATCTGGGCAGTGAAATGATCGGGATGACAATTGTACAGACGCAAGACCCTCGCAAGACTACTGCACGTGCAATTAGATTGACGTCCTACCGGATCGTGGTACTCAACATTGTCAGCTTCATCGTCGTGGCGGTACTTGCCCTTAATGGTTTAGTCAAGTCGAATGAGAATGGCAATATTCCCATGTCAGCTTTTCTGGTGGCGATCCAAATGGCGGGCATTCCAGTGCTTCCACACATTGTCAATGCCTGCATTTTGCTGTTTGCACTGTCATCTGCTACTTCTGGCCTTCACGTGGCAACTGGAACGTTGTACCGAATGTCCCTCGATAAAAAGGCCCCTGCCTGTTTATCTTTCACAGATCGACGAGGTATTCCCATCTCTGGGCTGTGCCTGTCTTCCTGTCTGGCAACGCTGGCCTATTTGAATGTCTTTGCCGACTCCAAGTTCCTCTTTCGCTACTTTATGAACCTCGTCACCATGCTCAGTATTTTAACGTGGGTCTCCGTCCTTGCCACGCATCTTTCATTTGACCAAGCTCGGAGAGCGCAAAGGATCCCAGATGAGGTCCTGGTCTTCAAAGCACCACTGGGACAGCTTGGGTCATGGGTTGCGCTCGTCTCATGCGTCATGATCACTCTGTTCAGGACCTTTGATGTCTTCAACCATCACGGAGTTGATTACACGGCGTTTGCAACTTCGTACTTGGGCCTTCCTCTCTACTTCTCGCTCATCATCGGATATAAAGCCACCACTCGGTGCAGGAAAGTCGACCCTACCGAGGCAGGTCTTTTCAATCACGCAGCACCCATTGAAGCGCCAAGGTCTGGTTCTTTGAGTGTGGGGTTTGAGAAATCGTTTGATGCGCATAAGCAGCGAGTGAAGCAGTTTGTGAAATTATGGGTACTTTGACATCGGTTACAGATGAACTGTTCATATTGGGGGGAGGTGAGCCATTCAGTTCTCATGGAAGAACAATGTTAGTGGTGGGAGATAGGATTGATCGTTTACTTTGGTTGAATTGAGGCATTATTATTGTTTAGGCCGCATAGCTGTCGCAGTACTAGTATACACACAATCCTCTCTAAAGCTATAAATAGCTGTAATTTTGGCAAATTTGGGCTGCCAGCTGAATTGCTCGGCCCACTTTTACCCTTAGCTCGGGGGAGGGGAGGGCTTCCGGCACCAATAGCACCCGCAGAGTTTAGGGCTGAAGAGAGTATAAATACAAGTACATAATAAGAGTACATAGCCGCGAAATTGTTGAAGATGGGGGCTTCTAAGGTCGATATAAACAGGAAGAGTCTATGTAAGTATACAAATACATAGTAATAGTCAATAGAATGGGGAAGAATTGACAGAACAGTTCACTGCAGACAGCTGAGGGGTGATGGAATATATGCCTCATGCACGTCGAGCGTCTAGGGCCTTTGAACAATTCATCAAACTCGTATGCATAATACATACTACTGCCTATAGTACGAGTTCATTGACAACCCAAGCCTTCGGTTCAGCTCGACTCACAATTCAGCTGAGCTTGACGAGATTCGACTATACGAGGGAGGCCAATCTCTGTAGAAAATAGATCCTCTGTTGTGACCAAACCCAGCACACTTTAGTCAACTCTTGATCTCCCCTCACCCTTTCACTCGACCAATGTAGGCAGCAAGAACCTCCGGGTTTAAGCATGCTGATCGTAAATGGAGAGAACGAATATATTGTACACTGCTGATCAGAGCAGTGAAGAGAGCCGAGATCATGAAGACTGATGAGCTTTCTCTGGCTGGAGGAAATAATAAACTTCACTTTGTGCATACAGCGTAGCTGCATAGTTCAATTTTGCCTTTTGCACGGAGTACATACCTATTAAAGTCGACCTGTTGACCGGCCAATGATGCCCGCTTTTGATGGGGGGTTTCCCCTCCATTTCACATGATGCTCTCTTCCATTGTGCACTGTGTTCATGTTATTATTCTGAACAATCGAGACAATTACAAATGGTTTAAATCAAGACAACAAACAACCAACAAGTCGTGGTGCTGAGAAACAAAAACTTGTACCCGGCTTGCTCTTAATTTTGTTCGGTTGGGTTGTGGACTGTACCAGATCAGCAACAAACCGACCAAACAACTCCCGCCATGGCCCCTTCAACGCCCATTCGAAACGGGAAAGAACTACACCGGATAATCGAGTCCCTAAATGAGCAATTCGCCCTCGACCTCCCGAACCCGCAGGCGTATTCGCCGTCTGTCTTCGCGGGGAAGCAGCCGTTGCGATGGCAGTGCTATTCTAGGATCCAGATGGTGTATTTTAATCGTAAGGTGGATTTTAGGGATTTGATCAATAGTTTTGAGGAGTGGATTGTTGCGCAGTCTTTTGCTGGTGGTGCTGGTTGGCAGCATGGTCGTGGTTGTGGTTGTGGGGGTTTCTTGGGAGCGAGGAGGTCGGACGCGACGAGGATTGCGCCGAGGAACCAGATGAACGAAGTCGGGTGTAAGTGGATATCGCAGGGGGAAAGAGATGCAAGGCTGAGGTATCTGATGAATTTGGTTGATGACGAGATTTATCTCTTGAATCAGGGGACGATGCCATTGAGACGGAATGAGCATACCAATGGCTACGGCCAGAGTCAAGACTCCCCCAGGCCACGCGAGGCAGCTCCAAAGCAGGTTTCCAATATGGCGTCGGGATCAGCACCGGCTCCGGTTACGATACAACAACCACCCATCCTGCCCAGACCAACAAAACCGAGGTACTCAGACGATGACGACGAATACTATACAGCGCCAAACTCACCATCTAAGAACGGCGAAGATGAATTCCCTGGACCCACGCTGGATGATATGGGCTGGACACGAGACCCTACGCAATCAGTCTCGAGAAGTAGCAGTAAAGGCAGCCATGTCTCCAAAGGACCCAAGGAGGGCCCAGGGAGCTTCGTCGAGCGGCTGACAGCTCCCGACCCGCCGTCCTTTCGATACGATGCTGTGCCACCAGAGCAGAACAATGTTCGGTACAGCTTCTCAACAAGTACGACGTCGTATTTTGGACCTCGGGAGGATAGTGGTCTGGGTGTTTCTTTTGCATCGAATGCCACGGAGCCAGAGACACAACACGAAGATTCTGTTGTGGGCCGCATGCTCAATCAAGAGATACAAACGATATTCAGCACTGAATCTATGAGCAAGGCATCTAGTGCCAGGTATCTGGAACAAGAGGAGATCATTGCAGAACTCCTCCGCAACGGTCCCTTTTCGCTCGCTCGCTCGTTCCCGCCTTCCATACCACTACGGTACCGGTACGAACTGGAGCGGATAGGCAGAGCCTGGGACGTCCCATTTGACCGGATGCTAGTTGGTGATAGCATCTCATTCAAGACTTATGACGACTTCTGCGGGTGGATTGCGACACACACTCAGCGGAATGGAAAGCTGCTTCCTGAGTGGTCGAATCGACAGGCCTGGAATGCCGCGACAGGAGATTTCAAATCAGACAAGCATTCCGAAGTAGTTGTGTTCTCTGGGGAGTTGGACTGGTGCGAACCTAATCAGCCAGGGATTCTGAAATTGAGACTGAACCCGCTCAAGATGGAGAAGACATGTCGGTTCCATCGACGGTTTGGGTCAGATAGGTTCCTGACCTTGACGATGCCAGCGCCGACAATGCCGCCGGGACATTTGCCTCTGCCGTCCCAGCCATCGCTACTACGCGAGAGTCTAGCTTCGTGGCTGACGCAAAATGTTCATCGCTGCATGGGCCGGACATGGCGGCCTTACTTCGTCGAGGAAGCCAAATCAAAACGCAAAACCAAGTGGGATCCGCGATTCAAAGTCGAGTTCTTCGCTATCGACGGTGAAGACTTCTATCATACCTACCACATCCCGCCACGCATCGCACCACCGCGCCAGGAAAGCGAGAACCGCACGCCGATGACCGTTGAAATCCTAATGGACTGGCACATGCCCGCAGAGGCTAACATGTCGCAATCGAACTGCAAGCTTTTCCAGCGAATTTCAATTGGTCTGTCCAAGACATTCGCGACAGCGGTGTTACGGCCGCAACAAGTTCTGCATCTGCGCGATGAGCCCGGTCAAACTGTTATGAATGACGGATGTGCATTAATGTCTCGGGGGTTGGCGAAGGATATATGTGACTCATTGGGGATTTCGGGGAACATGCCTAGTTGTTTCCAGGGTCGGATTGCGGGGGCGAAGGGATTGTGGATGGTCGATCGACACCGGTCACATCTTTCTGCCGGCGATGATGATATTTGGATCCAGATATCTGATTCGCAATTAAAAATCGAACCGCATCCGGAGTCGTGGCAAGAGCCCGTTGACGAGGAGAAGTTGACGTTCGAGGTTGTGAAGTGGTCGAAACCGTTGCACCCTGTTGAGTTGAATGTGCAGTTACTGGGGATCTTGGAGAATGGCGGTATTGCCAAGGAATACATTGCTGACTTGACCCGTGAGGGCATCAATGCGCTGTATCGTGACTTCGCTGAGGTCTTGCAGTCAAATAGTAATATCCTCTGTCGCAGTTTGATGCAGAAACTCTGGCCTGCTGATGACAGTCCTGGATTGATGGCTTACAAGGTTCGACGGCTGGAGCAGTGGACTGCTAACAATATCGAGGGGATCGTCCGCTTTACTGAGGCTGGCTTTACACCGCGGAGCTTCTATCCTCTCCGTAAGCGACTGGGGAGATGCCTGCGTGAACTGCTGGAGCAGTACGTGGATAAGCTGCATATCGAGGTACCCCTGTCGACATATGCGTTTTGTATCGCTGACCCCTATGGTGTTTTGAAACCAGATGAAGTACATCTCGGATTTTCCAATAACTGGCAAGCAGGCGGCTTTGCGTTCGAGGATAATCTACTCGATGGTATGGATGTTCTCGTCGGGAGACTACCTGCCCACCTCCCCTCTGATATTCAGCGGAGACATGCTGTTTGGAAGCCTGAGCTGCGCCATTTCAAAGATGTGATTGTTTTCTCGACGCAGGGTAATATGCCACTGGCGCATATGCTTTCCGGCGGTGATTACGACGGTGATACACCATGGATATGCTGGGATCAGAAGATCGTGCAGAGTTTCCAGAATTCAGAACTACCCCAACAAGAACTGTCATATCCGGAAGAGTATTTCGGGCTCACAAAGCATTCGGTGCCAATGAGCGAGATCCAGTCTCCGGATGAGTTCTGGCAGGGGGTGTTTACGTTTAACCTGACGCTGTCGAATCTGGGACAGTGCACTGTTGAGCATGAGAAGGTCTCGTACGATGAGTCGATTAACTCGTGGAAGGCGAAAGAATTGGCTTGTCTTCTTGGACACCTGGTAGACGGCCGGAAGGGTGGCGTACACCTCTCAGAACAAGCATGGCGGCAATATCGCGAGCGAATTAGCCCTTGCACGCGAAAAGCCCCTGCATATCGCAACCCAGGACGACAATGCAAAACAAGCAACATCATCGACTACCTCAAGTTCTGGGTTGCGTCACGACAGCGCAACGCCGTGCTTGAGCAGCTAGAGCGCCAATTCCCCGAAGCGGCCATCATGTGGGACCTCGACGAGGATCTCATTCGGCCGTGGAACGAGGCATGTCAGCTCGCGCGACAGGACAAGGCCGAGGGCGGAAACCTTCAAGCCATACTGGATAATACGGTCCATGAGTTCAACAAGCTAAAGCAGCAATGGAGCAGCTCATTCCGCGGCGAGAACGACACCATGCGCGAGTTCACTCCTCAGGCGCGCGAGTTCACTCCTCAGGCGCGCGAGGCCGCAGAGCGTGCCAAGGCCATCCCGCCACCGGTTGCAAAGCAGGGCGACCACCCACTTCTGCATACCTGGCGGCATGATCACAACGCATGGATGCGAGTTCTAGCCTCTTGTGCGTACAAAAAGCGCCCAGAGGCCAGTTTCGTCATGCATGCCTTCGGGGAGATACTCTGTCAGATTAAAGCGAGTACCATGCCCTCGCGGATAGTCACGAATGAAATCCTCGCTTGCTACCGGTTCAGCCAGAAGGCAGCATCACATATAACTGTGCGTGAGGTTTCTGCGAGTGGCGAAGAAGTGGACGAGTTTGAGTATGAGGGGGAGGATGTCATTGAGGCAATGTGTCTGCATGGGACGCAGCAGGGTCTTGGGGGGTATTGGGATCCAAATGACACGTTTTCCATGAAGTGATCCGTCCTTTTACAAGAAGAGCTGACACCGAAGGATCAAAAGGCAACATGTTCTGTATAGGGCACTGTATAGAGCCGTGTGCATACACTGAGGTTATAGAGCGATTACTGGATTTGGATAGTTTGACGAATGACGATAACAGAAAGCGGTCACGAATCATGTTTTGCATGTGACATCAAATTCAGGAAGACATGAAGTACTTGCACAGAGTACAGAGGTACAGAGTACGGGTGTGTACTATGCCGTATGTAGTAGTATTATGGCCTGATTAGATGTATTGTAAGCAAGCATAAGCCGAGCATGTGAAGCACCTCGAGTCATGTCACAGCATTTCAGCGTGTAATCGGACTCTGTCCGGCTTCACGTGAAACGCCGTCACATTCTCGGCTCTTCTTCGCTCTCAGTTACTGTGCCTCTACTCTGTACCATTTCCCTAGTCCTCTTGCCGGTGACTTCCATTCGCCCACATGAAAGAATAGGCGATTTATCATAATCAGCAGAGTTTTCTTTCCTTATTGAACTAACTCTCCACTGTTCTTCGGTCCAGAAAAGATCGCCAATGCCATGGCGGACGGAAACCCACCACCCACTCCCATTCCTCCTTCCACACAGCATCCCCAAGCTGTGAAGAACAATAACAATACCACTATTACTTCTCCGGATACTTCTGTCCAACATGCTCCCTTGATGGAGGTCGATCATTCTCCCGACGACCGTTCGAGGAGGGCTACCAGTGTGCTCTCTATGGATGACATCGAGGCCGCGCAGGCTCTGGAGGGTCTTCGTTCTGGTATCTTTCTCTCTCACATCCAAAGACACTATGAGCTGTGTTAACGGTGACAGAATTCGCTCACTCCCCTCGCTCCCCGCCTCGTCCCACCTCCGACTCCAGACAAGCAGAGCCCCTCCTCTCCCTCCTCACCTCCACCCATCCGTTGATTTCCTCGGCCATCAACGGGTCTATGACCGCCTATACCACTTCGAAATCATACTCACCGCGTTTCAAAACCGGCGCTGAATTCATCGAGCGGAATATAGGGTCGCCCGTCGCTAGTACCGTGGGCACCGTGGGTAGAAAGACAGGTGTTGAGAGCGGATTGCGCTGGGCGCTGAAACATCAGCGGGGGTCTACTGCGAGTCGGTCGAAGCGTCGTAAGGTGGATAATCGGGAGCGCGATTTAGAAAAGGGGCGCGACATTAGCGACAACGGCAATATTGGCGACATCAACAACGATAAGGGCATCATGCGCGTCGCGTCGGAGGTTTCTCTTCCGGAGACATTGCCGCCGTATGATGATCATACTTCGCCGAGCTACGATGAAGTTGGCCGAGAGAAGGCCGCGGGTAATAGAAACTCCAATTGGCAGAGTCGACTAGTCATCTCGACTTCCGGCCTTGGTGTCGCGATGAGTGAAGAATCGCTGCGGAGCTTGCAGTACTGTCTTACCTGGCTGCGCTGGGCGAATGGACGATTGGGCAAAGCGATTTTGGCTTTGCAGGGTGCATTGAAGGAGTGGGATTCTGGTTCTCTTCAGATGAATGAGAACTCGCCGGGCAGGAACACGCTGCTGTCGCAGCGCATTCAAGCCGTCAGGCAGGACGTCCTCCACACCTTGAAACAGGTGGTCAACGTTGTCTCCAAATATGCGGGAGGTGCTCTCCCAGAGAATGCGCGGAACCTTGTCCGCAAGCATCTGACTTCTTTGCCGCATCGGTTCCAGATCGCTTCTACTTCGCAGCCCTCACCCGACTCGCCAGAGTCATCGTCGGATGCCACTGTTGGTGCGCATCGGATCCTCGTCCTGGCACAGGAGGGTCTGGACATGATGGCGCAGGTCAGCGGAGTGGTCAATGACACTCTAGTGAGCGCAGAACACTGGTGCGATCGATTGGGAAGGAAGCGGCCGGAGCGCGGGAGTGAAGAGACCCCTGCCAGTCATCCGGTGGACATTAAGCAGCCCGTCGTACAGAGTCCTGATGTCCAGATGACAGGAGTTGAGCAGGCTTAAGAGTTTTTAGGTGGTTTTGTATCTGTTTTGGTTCTTTCGTGTTATGATCATTGATATCCGCTTTGTTTGGGATGCACATACGGCGTTTTGATTTGGTTTGGTATTTGAATTTATCAATTGATTTCGGGGTATCTTCTGGTAACTAACTGGTAACTGGTGATCTGTCAATATCACGGTTCGACCTGAATCCGTTTGATGCAAATGCAATACATTACAAGCTCAACTCCCTCAGCAACACTTTATCTCCCTCCTTCCAGGTATACAACTTCACCTTGGCGCGAAACATCTTTTGCCTTTCCAGCAGCAGCTCCTCGCGCTGTCTCTTGCGCTCTGCCATGATCTGCGCCCATTTTCTTCTCACATCGTTGATGCGTCTTTGGCGGAGTCGCCAGCGTCGTTTCCACAGTGCTGTTTGGTGGACTGTGAAGAGCTCAGCTTCTGCTGGTGTTGTTGCTGTTGCTGCTGCTACCGGGGTAGTAGGATCAGACTTATCAACTACTCTAGCCTCTACTTCATCCAGCTGCTTCATCTCAATCTCCCACCCACGCAACTGCCTCACATCCCCGATATCGCGGCAGAGTGTCAACATATCACAGCGTGCACGATCGTGCAGATGAATATGGTAGTCGACTTGGTAGTATGCAAAACGAAGATCTTCATCCTCTTCATCGCTTTTCACTGGCTTGACCAGTTCAAGTCCCTGTTTCCGTCCTTGGCTGAGAACATCCGAAACACAGGATTGGTACGAGAGTCGTTGAAGCGGCGTGATCAAACGCGTGTATTGCGGGATTTGCTTGCGGGTTGGTTTGGAGAGGGGGGATATTCCTTCTTCGTCCCATTCTTCGTCGTCTCCGGAGTAACAGCCTGAACCAGACTGATTCTCAAATCCAGTTCCAGATGCAGAATCACCGGAATCGAAGTAATCCGAACCATGATCATCCTCATCCCCATCCCTATCCCCACATTCCTCGCTTAGACAAGCCTTCGCGTGTGAATGCGAAAACGGCGGATCGCGCAACGGATTGTACACACCCGTTTTGAGATCCTGGCGCATACTCGCTTTGGTGAGGTGCAGGGTGCAGGTAGTGCATGATAGAGCTTCTTGGAGGGTTGCATTCTGCATACGTCCGTCAGGACTTGATTCTTCATGGTTTATTAGGCAAGGAGAGGGTAGGCTTACCATTTCCTCTTCTTGGGCGAGAAGGCTGGCCATTGTCGATGGTGTTGTTGTCATTGTCGCTGTCGTTGGCATAGAAGTAATTGATGTTCTAGGTGTCGATGACAGTTCGATATACATGATGTAGTGTGTTTATAGGGCTGAATCGAATCCAAGGTCCTTCGACGAATGAGGGAAGGAGGGGGCCCGGCAGGTCTTATATTCCAAAGAAGAAGGAACGAGCAAAAAGTCCGTTTATATACACAATTCCCATATGTCAACGATGGATCCCATCCGGCGAGTACCTGTTGTATCAGCCATAGGGCGAGGTAAGACTGAACAAAGAACAAAGACAGTAAATGACAACAAAGATGACATCCTTTACTGCTTGGATATTTTATTCAAATAAAGTATGGAGTAGACTACGCTTCTTTGTAGTTATTATTATAAGGCGAGACAACGGAGCATTGTGGTCATTCATAGCGGTGGACTTGGTCAAGTGATCGCTGAGGTGAATGACGGGGTCACTGGACTGGACTTTGGGGGCTGAGGCAGAGGGGTAGATTCTTTTTTATTATTTTTGTTTCTTTGGCCATATTTGATAATAGAATAAAGAGTTGGTATATGGAGGTGGTAGATGTATATAATTGGCGTTGAGACCTTTCATTTCATACGAGGATGTCTCGAGCATATCCGAGACGTGATCATGATACCGTTGAGATATAATGCTTACGTTTATAGTAGATGAATATATACCCTATGCCTATTGTGACATCTGACAGTTTGTTCATGAGATTCGAAGTTAGATAGCAATATCATGACGATATCTCTGTGTTCTGATCGGAATTCTGAAGATATGTTAAATAGACATCCCGGATCTAATTATGCGAACTATGAATATTTCAAGAAAATGCGAAAGCGATCGTACACTATGTCCATCCTATGTCCAACTGGCTGGTTTTAGCAGAAGAGAGAGGAAATTATCAATTATCTTGATTCGAAAAGACCGGATTTCGAAGCTCCCCTATACCATAAGAAATGATCACAGATGAGCTATTCTGCCTCGCGACAATAATCCAATGAACACAATAATCCAAGTCTCTCTACTTACCACTATCCAATCATACTATGCTGCTACAATGATGTCACATCCCGCCCATCCAAACCTCAAACATTCAACCGATGGAAAAATCCAGTAAACAGCGGTGAAGTGGTCGAGACACCATACGATATGCATATCAAACGGGGATGACAACCCGCGGCAACTAAATCTGCATGGCTTCGTGGCAGCTACCGGGTTCTCGTATCAGAACAACCATACGGCATGATCATAATCATTCATTCGTCTATTATCGTTTCATTTTAATTACCCAAAAAACAAATGCCAAAACAACCCAACCGCTTTAACCAAAAAACTCGTTAATTCATTCAAGGAGCACAGTATCCACCATCGACAACCAGGTCGGCACCGGTGGTGTAGGTCGAGGCGTCCGAGGCCAGGTAGAGGTAGGCACCCTTGAGCTCCTCGGGCTGACCCTCCCGACCCATGGGGATCTTGTCCTTCCAGATGTTCTTGACCGACTGAGGGACGAAGCTGGAGATCTCGGTAGCAATGTATCCGGGGGAGACGGAGTTGGCACGGGCGTATTTAACCCATTCGACGGCGAGAGATTTGCCTGCGACAGGTTAGCACCAAATCATGATTCAACAGTGAAAGGAAGATGACATACAGAGGTGGATGACCCCACACTTGGCGGCGTTGTACGCAGCCTGCATCTGAGGGAAGTTGACAATATGACCACTCATGGAGGCAGTAGCCACAAAGCTACCGTAGTTGAAGTTGGTGAGGGGCTTTCCGTTGAGGTCGGTACCCTGCTCCTTCTGGCGCTTCCAGTGGGCAGCAGCAGCCTTGGCGCAGTAGAAGGTACCATCCAGGTCAATGCCAACAACCTTGGTGTAGTGAGAAAGAGGACCGTCCACCATGGGGCCCTCAGTCCATGGGACACCAGCGTTGGCAATGAAAACATCCAGACGGCCGTTGAAATCGCGGACAGATTGGTCGACGGTCTTCTGGACGGCTTCGGCATTGGTGATGTCACACTGGTATGCCTTGGCTGTTGTTGCTGGTTAGTGCTGCACACAAAAGCAAAAGTGTTGGTGGCTGGAAATACATACTCTGAACACCATACTTCTGAGCGACCTCAGCAGCGCGCTCTGGGGCCTTGCTGTTGTTGCTGTACCAGAAGGCAACGTTGGCACCAGCCTCAGCCAGACCATTGGCCACAGCGAGACCAATACCAGCACCAGAACCAGTGACAATAGCAGTCTTGCCCTTCAGGGAGAACATTCCCAACAAGCTGGGGTGAGGGGGGGCAGTGGTGTTCTCATGGACAAAATGTCCGACCTCGTTGACGGGGTTGTTCGCCATGGTGAATAGATTAAGAATATTAAAATAGTTGTATAGATAGGTCTGTAAGAGGTGATCAAGAGTGTGAAGAGTGACAGTGTTGGAGGAGAAAAGAGAAAGAGAAGAAAGCAGTCAGTAATACTATATATACTATGAAAAGATGAAAGGAATGAGTTGGCGAGGGGCACTACACTACAATAAGTACTGGAGAATTGGTGGGGGAAGACCTATCCGGTTGAAGTGGATATGTGACGCTATGCAAACCCCCAGAAACCGGCCGCGCTCAAAGAATTGTCGGGAACATCGCGAAGCTTCAGCTGTGGACAGCTAGCCTACGGGAGCATTGTCATTCCGTGTTCTGAACGGAGTATAAGCAGCTCTGATATCATGTCTACTTAATGGCTATCTCCCGGGATGACATCGTAGTCCGGGTTGTTTGCTGTGTTTGTCTCCCTATCCGGACCAAGGTCGGTGCGATGAAGCTATCCTGGCGCTAGGCGGTCTCCAGAGGCAGAATAGGTCCCTGGAGCTTCATCTCAACGACAACCGCAGGGGGACAATCCTCAAGGCATTTCACCCTGGAAATGATATCGGGGATGGATCTCGAGTATCTACTGCCTCAATATGTGCATTGTCAGTCTCTAACATGGTGAACCTCAAATCGATAGCATACATTGAATCGACGTTCTACCCAGATGGCTCTGAATTTGGTCAACTAACCCCAGCTTTGCTCAGCACCCCTGTGAAGTAGCTCGTTTCTTCACCGAATTGTGATTATTTAGAATGGCAGAGAAACTAATGACAAGAACCCGGAACTCAGCAAATTCTCTATAATATATACCTCATACTCTACTAACATCGAGTGCGATATTAGACATGCCCGTCTGTAACAACATCAAGGATCGTCTCATTCCAATTGATATTCTGCTCATTAATGCACCCGGAAACATAGGGGAATAACTTGTGACTGGCCAATGATGACGGTTACCAGTACGGAGTGTGCTCTATGTCCAGCATTCCTTGCGCGTCCCCGTTATGTTGGCTACATTCCATGACTACGATCTGGTATCCATAACAAACGAAACAGTCCCCGCAGGCAAAGAGTCGCTATGCTCCTTCTTGCTGTCATCTGCTCTGTTTGACACCAATCCCTGCTGTCCATATCGTGTGCCACTGCCATCCACCATCGTCCATCCCCGAACGAGACCAGCCGATGTGAGCTCATCCGGTGTCTGGTGTATCCTTTTGGCTTGCAAACTCGTCATGATACCGTTAACAACTGTTGTCGCCGTGGCCGTGAGCTTGTCGGTGTTGTTTATTGTGTGCTCGGTAGTTGGCACAGTCGTTTGGATTAGGATTCGACAAGAAAGACTTTCTATGGCAGTAGCAAATGCGCGCAATGGTCGATACGCTCGAGGACTACAAAATTTCCCTGCCGAAACCGTGACTGAGCTGTCCCCAGAAGAAGGAACTGTCCTGGGACAGTATGGGCAGTTGCCATACGGAAGTCCCGCGGAATGGGCTCTGATGGATTCAAGGGAGAGATTAGTCAAGCCCATCGATCCAGAGATGTGTTCCATACTCAGCGAGAAGCCGCGATCGTTGCGCCAGTCCCTCTCGAGATCCAGGTCCAAGCGTTGGTCCTTTCGACGACCTCCGCGACGGAGTTCTCTGGCACCTGTAGGGGAAAACTTCGAAAAGCGGTCAGTTGAGAAGCCTTCATTTGAAACTCGACCTTCTGTTTCGAAAGAAGAAGTGGAGGTTTCAGCAGTCGAAGGGGTCATGGAGCTGCCGGCAGAGACATCTCCTAGACAGACGCCAGACAGAGAAGAGCCACGTCCTGATAACAACCTCCACTCATCAGGAATATGGTCAGTGTACATGAATAGGGATTACTCGAGCAGTTTGTTTCCGGTCCGTGAAGATGAACACGAGGGATTCGACCCGTATCGCCTCCGGGTACGAGGGACAAGCCTTACCACACAAACAGCAGGGACCATGCCAGAGCAACCGGTGCCACCTCCGCCTCCATGTGCCTATCCGCCTAATCGTTTCCGTCTGTCGAGGAACGATTCATCCATGAGATTGTCATCTCTGAGTCTTGATACGGCAGACAGCTCTATCCTGGAAGATGGTAGGAGAACGCCGATGTTGATTGACAGCAACTTCAACTCGCCAGCATTGCCGCCATGTCCAACATTTGTGCCGTACAGCGCCAACGATGTTGGCTGTCTGAATAGGAGCTTCTCGACAAAGAGTTCGCTACAAGGGTCGTTTGCGTTCCCCTCGGGATCGGTGGATTTGGAAGCTTACAGAATGGAACGGGATCGAACGTCTCCTCGTCGAAGTATGACTACTCGAAGTCCGAGTCATAGTATGGAACGAATTTGCCCGCCACCACGCAGGAGTGAATCTCTGTCTTCCACTGCACCAAGACGCGACCCACGATTTGCGTCGTTGGGAAACAAGCCTATATTGTATCCAAGTCCCAACAATATTCCTGCTCATTGGAACGGCATCAACTACAACTCTGCACTCCTTCCCCATTTCAGCCAGATACGACGGTCTCCAGTGCGCCAACACCCTCCAAGGGACTCCACTGATTCCCTTCTTAGCAGTACGGACAATCTGCTTAATCTTTCGGAGAGTCCAAGCTGGAGATCCAGCAATGTGGTCGTGCACGAGACACCGTTGTCCGCGGACGGTCTTCCGCGACTTCCTCCTCCGTCTGCACTGAAGGGCGGGAATGGCCCGCGCAAAGGCCATCGGCGGCAGAATTGTGTCCGCATATCAATCCACCCTCCGATAACCTATGGAGGTTCGGTTATCTCCCCCATGGCTGAAGAACCGGAGGAACACGACGGAGCAGCGAGTCGCAGATCCGAAGTTTCTGAGTTGTCAGCAACCAACATGTCCTCTTTGCCCAGTGTCTCGGCAATTTCTATAGATAAACCAAACCACCATGAACGAAGCCGCCCTTCTTCATACCGCCGTGCCTCTTACCGGACTTCCCCTCCTAAGCGAAAGCATGCACGGATAGGCTCTAAGGACACCGGCACCACCAAGGTTTTACCTGGAATTGACACCTCGCTTGCTGCTCGAGAAGCCAGTTTGCCTCGCACACCATCTCCCGATAAGAGTCCTCCCGCATGGTCGGCTTCCAACCAAGTCCCATCGCCTTCGACACGTGAAAACCCACCCACCCCTGGCGAACCACGCGTGTCTGCAGTAAAGGGCCCGCGCAGTCAACCTGGGAAACCAGCAAAGAACAACCAGCGTTCCTCAATGCCATTGGCAGAGAATTTGACATCCCCGCCTCCCTCGATATCCTCGAATTCCAGACGAAACAGTCTGAACCAAAACTCCCAGAAGTCAAGCTCCACTCTCAACCGAGGCAACAGCACCTCTACAAACAACACATCGACAAACAACGATCAAGACGCAGCAGAAGGATTAGAGGTAGTCGGCGGTCCCCAACCGACAAGACCACTCTCCCCATCGTGCGGAGTAAACAAAACTCCCGGCAATGGCAGCGGCAATATCGTTACCATCTGGGAGGACACTAAGCTCGACACTCAGCTTGAGCGAACATCAACCAAACTGTCCTCTGCCTCAGCTCCTGGTGAAGTTATAGAACTACAGGGAGACATCTCTTATAACCAGATCGAGCGGCACAAGAGCACCGGCGGGATCAAGAAACCAGAGTGCAAGGATACCCATAATGATAAATTGTCTCGCGCAACCACCCAAAGATCGACTAAACCGGAACCCATGACGCCGGTGAAGAAGACAGTTGGACTGGGGATTGGGGCGACAGCGGCCACGCCGGGGAGTTTGTACGATGGTGATGGGTTCCTGAAGGAGTAGGACTGGGTTCTCTGTTCTTTTGTTGGGGTTCAAGGCTGTTGATTGTAAAAGTGTGACTGGTTTCACTATATCTTTGTCTTAATTTATTTCTGATGCTATTGCAGGCATTTTTTTTTGTCTCGATATCCTTGATTACTAGCTAGACGTAATTAGAAGAATGGATGTATCATGGTAACTTTTCTAAAGTACAACCCCCTTTACCCCCGCAACAACGTTTAGTCCGTTCTCTGCCACTTAGCCTCATCATTCTCCCCCTCGTGCTCTTGCCCAACAGTTTCATTCTCCTCATCCCTGGTCCTTACCGTCCCAGCACCAGGTCCCAAAGGCAACACCGGCTCCTGCCCACCCGCAATCCAATTCCCCTCTTCATCAAAATATTCATGCATATTGTCCGCTGTAATCCACCCCGAACTCCCAGGCATAGCAGGCGGGAGCCCAATCTGCTGCACTGCCTCATCGCCTTCCCCATCCCATTCTTCGCCCTCATCCTCATCACCAGGAAGGACCGGATCAGGATGTAAATTCGAACAAGCAGACACAGCCGCGTACAGCACCTGCGTCGCAGACTGATCCTCCGTCGCGTGTCCAGTGGCCGTAGGAGTTGCCGTTTCACTTGTCGATGTCCCGCCTAGAGTCTCTGGTGCTGTGGGTGGTACGATGGTGAGGGTGATGCATTCTTCCTCGTCGTCTGCGGTAGGACCAGTTGGTGTGGGGGTTGCGATTTGCATGTACAGGCCTTGGACTTCGTTGGAGGGCGAGGTGGGGAGTTTTAGGCGTTGGATGGCGTGGAGTGAGATGGAGGGGTAGGGGATTGTGAGGCCGGTGGAGGCGGAGGGAGTGTAGAGGAGGAATTTACTATAATCGCATGTCATGTTAATTATCTCTAGAAAGCAAATTGAGAAAGGGTAGGTAGCTAGGACATACTCAGAAGTAACCCAGACATCAACACCATCGATCACGACTTCTTTTCCTTCTTCGCCTTCAGCGTCGCCATTTCCATTGGTGGCGCTCGAAGATGCGCCGCGGATGGCATTCAACGCTGGAACGGAGAGCAGATCACGCTCAAAAATGACGAGTTTGCATGCCTTGCTGTGGTAGTGGAGGACTGGCGGGCCTGTGTGGAAGGACGCGGGGGTGCGCGATTGATGGTCGGCGAGGAGGACGAAGGAGGAGGCTTCGGGGGGTGTGTTGAGAGGCTCCATTGCTCTGTTTATGGAGGAGAGACGGTTGTAAAGCAAATTCAAGGAGAGTATTTGGGGTATTGTTGAGATGAGGAGGAAACGTTGGTTCGCGGAAGAGCTATTGTAGATCTGGGAACCTTTCAACCTTCCCTTTTCGTTTTCGGTCCGACTTCACGCCGCTTATGGCTCCCTAAGCAGTTCGGAGCGATCAGGGCTTGGGGATCAATGAGTTCGCGTTAGCATAATGAGAACAAAGAAAGAAATATAAGGATCCTTTTATGAAGTCAGGTTGAGCATTTTATCTATCACATGACTATCCATTTGCGGTAGAGATTGAGCTGCCTGATCCAGGCAAAGAAGCAAAGGAAATAGGGTAAATTTAGCCTTATCAATATTTTTCGCCATGGCAGTACAGAAGAGCCAACAAGAAAATGATATTGAAGATACCAAGCAAAAAGAATTTCAGTTTTACATAGCTAGATTATCCCGGCTGACTAGATAATCTGGCATTGTCTGTATGTCGGATCAAGCTTTCTACAGATAGCAGCGCCATCGATGTACCTTGTCCAATCCACAGTCGTTTTCCCAATTTGATCTTCGACAAGTGGATCAACTCCAAACTTCTTGACCAATATGCATACCGCTTCCTTATGCCTCGTTTGAAAGACAAGATGCAACACTGGCCCAGGGGTAAGCTCTTCAGACCCTTCAACTGGCTAGATCATATTGATACCAACACCCTTTTTGCTCATCAAGAGGGAAAGCAAAGAGGGAAAGCATGTCCACACTGTCATTCTGCATAGCCTCATAAAATGTTCTTGTGCCATTGACTCAGGCACCATGCTTCAAGAGTAATTATATCATTTCATACTTGTTGGAATACAGCGCATATTCAATTGTAGGCTGATACAACTGGCTCCCATTTGAATCACAGCCAGCCTCTCAGAGGATGAAGGATGTCAATGGGAAGTTATCACACAAAATTGCATGACCAAGGGCATCTCCAAAATGGCTCAAGTGCCATTTTAGGATTGATGGGTGGTATACGCTCGGAATTCTGAATGCTTCAGTTTACCCATAATCTATTTGATCCTATCATGCTAGTGAAACCTTATCTCGGAAGAGGGGCGATTTGCTGTCTGGTTTGTATGTAACAAGCAGATAACACAATGACGAGGACGGTCAACATGATATCTGCTGCGTTTCTGCCTTCACTTATCCAACTTCCATACAGATCATCTCGCCGAATTGCGACCGTTTCGCCAGATGGTCCGCAAGAGCGGTTAGCAAGAGACACTGTTATAGCGTGAGCATGGCCTATAGTCAAAGAGGGCTTAAATACTTGCAGCAAGCTCAGGATTCAGCACACATTTGCATCAAATCTCCATGCGGCCTCGAATCCATTTCGGGAACGCAACGTTATTAAGCCACTGCTCTGTATTCTATAGGTTTCCATCGGCCATCAGGCTGGGCCGGGTTTCTGAGATCCTGGTTTCAAAGACGACTCTATGTCTAACTCTACATGTACGTCGGGTAACTTAACGGACTGTTATTACGTATAGATGAGCCCCTGAAACTCTATTACCTTCGTTCAGCAAATGTATTGTATGCAAGATTTGCGCGTGTTAACTGACAGACAGATAGTGTTCGTCACAGCAGGGAGCAAAGAGTGTCGCGAGCCGGTGCAGGCATGGTGGTAAGCAGTTTCCTGGCATTCACGTCGCATTTGGTTCTCAGGTCAAGATGGGCAGTATGGGCTATCCATCAGTGGGCACAGCAAAGGCGTATATGTGGGTTTGATACCCTAGGTGGGTGACTGTAAGGATATTGAATAGCCAATTAGGCCACTATTGTGGTTTTTGGTTGCCATGTCCTATAGTGTGATCATAGTAATATGAAGAGAAGGTCTCTTAAAAGACATAAAGGACGTGTTGGTATATGGATAGCTAAAGTCCGGCGTACAGCGGCAACGAGAAGAAATTTAGGATGGAGAAGAAGTGAATACATGTATTCTGGTGAAATATTGTCACACCTCCCGACCTATAAAGCATTAAAAGCATCATATTCACCCTTATCTGAATGTACCGTCTCGATGCACGGAAATCCCAGTCACGGGCATTCGAGTATTGCGTATACAGTAACACAGCATGTTTATCGTCACTATTTGTTGGTTATGCTCTTGCATCACCTTGTCCAGCCTCATATCCGTGCTTGGGTGAGAAGATAGTTGACCACTCAGATTAGAGCCCTCAGGCACTAGATAGATAATAATTGTCCTGCTACCAGAAATGAGTCACTGAGCAAAGTACGGTGATGCCACACAGGCTTATGAAGTATTGGAGAATGGCAAAGTAGGGCGGCTGGGGTTCGCTCATTTCACGCCCATTCTGCCAAACGCTTGGTCTAGCTCCTTGCCCTCATCGCGTGGCTTCATCGATGGAAGAGTGGCAGCACCCTGATCAGCAGGCGTGCTGTCTAGCAGACTCTGTTCAGCCCCACCCGCAGACGGCGAAGCGAAACTGGCTCTACTCGGTTGAAGTATCTTCTCTTCCCGATCCAGCCACCCCGGAGCAACTCGTCTTTTCTCAGCAAGATCCCGTTGGCGAATAGACTCTTCCCATTGCTTGATGGCGTCGTCTGCGTCACTCCGAGTCTTTCTTAGATGTTGCTCGAGCGACTGACAAGCAGCTAGAATCTCGTCTGGATGCGCGGCATGCTCACCACTCGCTGATACGATGTAACGGGGTTTAGTATCGGGATTCCCGGGATCGCCTGTGACGGAGGGTGGTAGCGTGGAGGGGACAGATTTGTATGTATAGGGAAGTGTAATCGCGGAGGGCAGATTGATAAACGGGGAGACGGTCAAAGGGACCTGGGCCAGAAAGGGATGCGGTCCTAAATGCGTGTCAGCACAGGTCCTCTCATGGGACAGCAATAAATACTTACTATATGATTCGTACATGTTGAAGCAGATGGTGAAATAATAATGAAGGTGAAGAGGCGATAGTAATCTCCCCGCAAAAGGAGCCAATGCGCGTGGATCCCGAAGTTGAATAAGCAGTGTGTTCTTCCCAATTAGGCTGAGGCTCCTTTTCAACCAGCCAGAGAATAGAGATCTCTCTCACTGACTCGCCTCTTGCTTGCCTCTTTTATGATACATCTCTCTTCTCCCATATTGATTATTTCACCTGGTCAGGAGAAAAGTGTTCTCTATTCCTCTTGGCTCTCCCCACATCGACTGAATCAGTCCCTTTTTGGACGCCTTGGCCACTACCGTTGCTGGTTGTTTTTGCTCCTGAAAAAGAGTTAACTCGGGTCTTTTCAATCTGATAATTTCTCTTCTCTTTTTGCCTTCTATCTTATAGGTCCAGTCATTTCTGGGATACTATTTTATCCTTATCTCTGCCCTCTACGATCTATTTGCTTGGACTCGACATCGATCGCTCTCGTGTGTGATTTCGCCGCGCTTAACCCCACCAATCTCTTCCCTCCGCGCTGCCAACTTCTGTTGGTCCTGTTCTCCTTTTCCTCTTATCCTATTCTCTCATCCGTTCCCCCCTTCCTCAGACGCGACTCGACCTTTCTCGGTGAAAATGGACCGGAATTTGGCGCGAGCGGTGACGGACAAGAGACCGGTCCCCGAGATCGATTTCACGCTACATACTATGGAAGATGGCAGCCAGGTGTCCACCCAGGAAAGAGTAGTTAAAGGTATGAAAAAAAGGGACAAATGATAGAGATTATAATTGTTCGGTCGCTAACAGTCTTGCGAATCCCTAGAGGTGCAAGCACCCGCCTCAAACACCCCCTCGGACGAGTCCTTCTGGTCTCCTGAAGACCCCTCAAAGCCGAACCTGCAGTTCCTTAGACAGCACTTTTATCGGGAAGGTCGTCTTTCGGCAGAACAGGCACTATGGATTATAAAGAAGGGTACAGAGGTACTGAGGTCGGAGCCCAACCTGCTAGAAATGGACGCACCCATTACGGTGTGCGGTGACGTTCATGGTCAATACTACGATTTGATGAAATTGTTTGAAGTCGGTGGCGATCCATCCGAGACGCGATACTTGTTCCTGGGTGATTATGTTGACAGAGGTTATTTCAGCATTGAGGTATGTTCTCCTTTTTAACTTGCGGGCCTGGATCTGACGCTTTTTCAGTGCGTTCTGTACCTCTGGGCTCTGAAGATCTGGTACCCCAACACACTCTGGCTTCTGCGAGGCAACCACGAATGCAGACATCTTACGGATTATTTCACATTCAAACTCGAATGTAAACACAAGTACAGCGAGGAAATCTATGAGGCTTGCATCGAATCCTTCTGCTCGTTGCCGCTAGCGGCGGTCATGAACAAGCAATTCTTGTGTATTCATGGAGGCCTTAGTCCCGAATTGCATACACTGGAAGATATCAAGGCGGTATGTTCAACCGTTTTTACAGGGATTCAGCATTACAAATGCTAATGTTGTGGCAGATTGATCGCTTTAGGGAACCTCCAACCCACGGCCTGATGTGTGATATCCTATGGGCCGACCCTCTGGAAGAATTCGGACAAGAAAAGACTGGCGAATACTTTGTCCACAACAGCGTTCGAGGCTGTTCGTACTTCTTCTCCTACCCTGCTGCATGCGCTTTCCTCGAGAAGAATAACCTACTGTCGATCATCCGGGCACATGAGGCACAAGATGCCGGGTACCGCATGTACCGCAAGACGCGCACGACCGGATTCCCAAGTGTGATGACCATCTTCAGCGCACCGAACTACTTGGACGTATACAACAACAAGGCTGCCGTGTTGAAATACGAGAACAACGTTATGAACATTCGTCAATTCAACTGCACACCCCACCCCTATTGGTTGCCCAACTTCATGGACGTTTTTACCTGGTCGCTTCCCTTCGTCGGCGAGAAGATTACGGACATGCTTATCGCCATCCTCAACACTTGCTCTAAGGAGGAACTCGAAGATGAGACACCAACATCGGCCTCTGGTCCTGGGTCGCCACCGCTACCAATGGACGTCGACAGCAGCGAGTTCAAGCGCCGAGCAATCAAAAACAAGATTCTTGCCATTGGTCGACTGTCTCGTTTCTTCCAGGTGCTCCGTGAAGAGTCGGAGAAGGTCACTGAACTCAAGACCGCTGCTGGAGGTCGTCTTCCCGCGGGTACTCTGATGCTGGGAGCAGAAGGAATTAAGCAGGCTATCAACAACTTTGATGATGCTCGGAAGGTTGACCTGCAGAATGAACGTTTACCCCCGACCAAGGAGGAGGTTTACCGGAGGAGCGATGAGCAGAGAATGTCGGCTCTCCAGCGTGCTCAACAGGAGGCTGACAATGATGCCGGGCTAGCAACTGTGGCTCGACGTATCAGCATGTAAGTGCTTTTCCCTTCGGAACAAGCGAAGAGAAGTTGAAAAGTTTCTAACAATCCATAGGTCTGCTGGATCAGGTAAGAGTCGCCGGCAACGAGACGAGACCCAGGAAGCCTGATCGGATGATGAATCTGTCGACGGTCTTTTGAGTCCAGCGTACGTCCCAACTCAGTTGCGGCTCCGATAATCTATAGAGGAATATGACGTCCGTGATATTGTGGTTGTCATGGCCATTCTGATTTAATTTTTGACTTTTCCTTTTTGATTCTGCTAGGATTGGGACGGCCGATTAATGTACCAAAATTTTTGAAAACGGCACACCGGGAGGTCCATTTCGTGTATATCCTTGGACAGTGGCCACGAGACGTCTGCGACGTCTTGGGCTACATGAGTTGATGAATTTATACAGTGATATCTAT